GATGTCGTCCTGCACAACAATGGAGGTTTCCTGCGGTCGGCTGCTATCAATCCTTCAATTTGTAACTCCTTCAGGAACTTTATCATGCATTCAAGTTTTTATTTTCTTTTTCTTTTAAGACTTGGTATTCCCCTTTTTTCTTTAGTACAGTATTATGGTCATAACAAGTCTGATGATGTTAGCTACCTTCACAACACCAACAGCTGGGGATTGACTAATTTTTTCTTACTTTCAGTATTTACTTAATCACTCTTTTATGACCTTATCACTACACTGCTGCTATAATCAACCAACATATGTATTTGTTAATATTTCAGATCACACCGTTAACCCAATTAACTGTTTGGATATTTTGTGTCAACACTGCGGCCAGTAGCCTGATCAGCTGACTGCTACCCTCCCTCACTCAAATTTCATTCAAATTTAAATTGTAAAATTCTTGATCACATTATTCGCACTCTTGAAAGCTATTACACTCTTGTAGGTATGTTCACTGATTCACTCACGTACGATGACCGCTAATAATATCTTAGGACAGCCACTAGAACGCTAAATCCTGGGAGCACTATTTAGCGATACTGCTTCACGTGTGTGTGTGTGTGTGTGTGTATGTGTGTGTACATAGGTTATTTTAATTACAGGTGTTAGAATGTATGTATATTGTTGATGTTTAATTTACAATCAGAACAGTGCATGTTTTTTTCTATTTTTCAATGCGTTGCTTTATAATTACAAAAAAAATGTTATATATAAATTATAGAAATGCGTCAGTTAATTCATTTTAATAATAGAGTTTGATAAAGTTCTTAACTATAATTTTAAATGTGCAATATCAAGTTGTTACAATAATAAACATTTTGTTTACAAAACTAACCTGGTTTTTTTACTTTAGATAAACAATATTATAAAAATGTTTGATGCTTCAGCTTCATGTTTCAAATATAGAAATTATCCAGATTTTTATTTTCCTAATCTCTATGCCATCATCAGATTATTAAATATGTAGATAGAGTCAGATATTTTATATATATATTTTTCTCTGTCAGCTTCAGGGGGCGGGATGGGGGCGGGATGGGGGGCGGGATGGGGGCGGGATGGGGGGCTACATTAATACTGTTATATTAATGAAAAATTACGTTATTTAATACTTAACTTAAACGGGTTAATACAAATTGTTTTATGACTATTTCCTGATATAGTGAACTTGGTTACCAAAAATTTTCAATATATATAATGTAAAGAAAAATTCGATATCACTCTAAATGGAGTATTGATATAAGAAAAAAATTTTTGGGAATGTCCCTTATCTAGCACTAACAACCCAGTAGCACTAGCAGACCCAGGAGCACTAGCAACCCAGTAGCACTAACCCAGTAGCACTAGCAACCCAGTAGCACTAACAACCCAGTAGCACAAACAAACCATTTAGCACTAACAACCCAGTAGCACTAACAACCCAGTAGCACAACCCAGTAGCACTAGCAACCCAGTAGCACTAAAAACCCCAGTAGCACTAACAAACCGTACCCACTAACAACCCAGTAGCACTAACAAACCATTTAGCACTAACAACCCAGTAGCACTAACAACCCAGTAGCACTAGCAACCCAGTAGCACTAACAACCCAGTAGCACTGCAACCCAGTAGCACTAGCAACCCAGTAGCACTAACAACCCGTAGCACTAACAACCCAGTAGCACTAACAACCCAGTAGCACTAACAACCCAGTAGCACTAACAACCCAGTAGCACTAGCAACCCAGTAGCACTAACCCAGTAGCACTAGCAACCCAGTAGCACTAACAACCCAGTAGCACTAGCAACCCAGTAGCACTAACAACCCAGTAGCACTAACAACCCAGTAGCACTAACAACCCAGTAGCACTAACAACCCAGTAGCACTAACCCAGTAGCACTAACAACCCAGTAGCACTAGCAACCCGTAGAAACTAACAAAACCAGTAGCACTAAAAACCCCCGTAGCACTAACAACCCAGTAGCAAAACCCCAGTAGCACTAACAACCCAGAAAGCACTAGCAACCCCAGTAGCACTAACAACCCAGTAGCACTAACAACCCAGTAGCACTAACCCAGTAGCACTAACAACCCAGTAGCACTAACAACCCAGTAGCACTAACAAACCAGTAGCACTAACAACCCAGTAGCACTAACAACCAGTAGAAACTAAAAACCCCATAGCACTAACAACCCAGTAGCACTAGCAACCCAGTAGCACTAACAACCCAGTAGCACTAACAACCCAGTAGCACTAGCAACCCAGTAGCACTAGCAACCCAGTAGCACTAACAACCCAGTAGCACTAACCCAGTAGCACTAACAACCCAGTAGCACTAACAACCCAGTAGCACTAACAACCCAGTAGCACTAACCCAGTAGCACTAGCAACCCAGTAGCACTAACAACCCAGTAGCACAAAAACACCCAGTAGCACTAACAACCCAGTAGCACTAGCAACCCAGTAGCACTAACAACCCAGTAGCACTAGCAACCCAGTAGCACTAGCAACCCAGTAGCACTAACAAACCAGTAGCACTAACAACCCAGTAGCACTAACAACCCAGTAGCACTAACAACCCAGTAGCACTAAGAAACCCAGTAGCCTAGCAACCCAGTAGCACTAGCAACCCAGTAGCACTAACAAACCGTACACCTAACAACCCAGTAGCACTAAAAACCCAGTAGCACTAACAACTCAGTAGCACTAACAATCCAGTAGCACTAACAAACCAGAAGCACTAACAAACCAGTAGCACTAACAACCCAGTAGCACTAACCCAGTAGCACTAACAACCCAGTAGCACTAACCCAGTAGCACTAGCAACCCAGTAGCACTAACAATCCAGTAGCACTAACCCAGTAGCACTAACAACCCAGTAGCACTAGCAACCCAGTAGCACTAACAAACCAGTAGCACTAACAACCCAGTAGCACTAACAACCCAGTAGCACTAACAACCCAGTAGCACTAGCAACCCAGTAGCACTAACAAACCAGTAGCACTAGCAACCCAGTAGCACTAACCAGTAGCACTAGCAACCCAGTAGCACTAACAAACCAGTAGCACTAGCAACCCAGTAGCACTAAAAAAACCATTTAAGCACTAGAAACCCAGTAGCACTAACAAACCAGTAGCACTAGCAACCCAGTAGCACTAACAAACCAGTAGCACTAACAACCCAGTAGCACTAACAATCCAGTAGCGCTTACAATCCAGTAACACTAGCAACCCAATAGCACTAGCAACCCAGTAGCACTAACAATCCAATAGCACTAGCAACCCAGTAGCACTAACAACCCAGTAGCACTAACAACCCAGTAGCACTAACAGCCCACTAGCACTAGCAACCCACTAGCACTAACCCAGTAACACTAGCAACCCAGTAGCACTAACAACCCAGTAGCACTAGCAACTCAGTAGCACTAACCCAGTAGCACTAACAACCCAGTAGCACTAACAATCCAGTAGCACTAACCCAGAAGCACTAACAATCCAGTAGCACTAACAATCCAGTAGAACTAACAACCTAGCAGCACTAACAATCCAGTAGCACTAACAATACAGTAGCAATAACAACCCAGTAGCACTAACACAGTAGCACACAGTGGCAGTAACAACACTAACACAGTAGCACTAACACAGCACTAACACAGCAGCACTAACAGTGGCACTAACACAGTGGCACTAACAACCCAGTAGCACTAACAGTAGCACTAACAGTGGCACTAACAACACAGTAGCACTAACAGCGTAGCACTAACAACCCAGTAGCACTTACAACAGTAGCACTAACAATACAGTAGCACTAACAACCCAGTAGCACCAACAACCCAGTAGCACCAACAACACATTAGCACTAACAACACAGTAGCACTAACACAGTAGTACTAACAACCCAGTAGCACTAACACAATGGCATTAACACAGCACTAATAGCACTAACACAGTAGCACTAACACAGTGGCACTAACAGCACTAACAGTGGCAATAACACAGTAGCACTAACAGTGGCACTAACACAGTGGCACTAACAACCCAGTAGCACTAACACAGTGGCACTAACAACACAGTAGCACTAACAACCCAGTAGCACTAACCCTGTAGCACTAACAACCCAGTAGCACTAACCCTGTAGCACCAACAACCCAGTAGCACCAACAACCCAGTAGCACTCACCCAGTAGCACTCAACATAGTAGCACTAACACAGTAGCACAACACAGTAGCACCAACAACCCAGTAGCACTCACCCAGTAGCACTAACAACCCAGTAGCACTGACAATACAGTAGCACCAACAACCCAGTAGCACCAACAACCCAGTAGCACTCACCCAGTAGCACTAACAACACAGTAGCACAACACAGTAGTACTAACAACCCAGTAGCACTAACACAGTAGCACTAACAACACAGTAGCACTAACACAGTAGCACAACAGTAGTACTAACAACCCAGTAGCACTAACACAACGGCACTAACAACACAGTGGCACAACTCAGTAGTAATAACCCAGTAGCACTAACGAGTAGCACAATTCAGTATCACTAACAACTCGTTAGTGCTAATGGGTTGTTAGACCTACTAAGTGAATAACACTAGCAAGCCAGTATCACTAATAAGCTAGTAGCGCCCACAGATCAGTAACACTCACAGGTCAGTATCACTAACAAGCCGGTAGCATCCACAGGTCAGTATCACGCACAGGTCAGTATCAGTAACAAGCTAGCAGCGCTAACAGGTCACGAACACTAGCAGGTCAGTAGCACTAACAGGTCAATAACACTAACAGGTCAACAGTACCCAAAGATCAGTATCACCAACAGGTTTATAGCACCCACAGGTCACTAGCACTAACAGATCAGTAACGCTAACAGGTCAGTATCGATAACAGGTCAGTAACACTAACACGTCAATAGCATCCATAGGTCAGTAGCACTAAGAAAGAGAAGCGACTAAGAGCCTGGTGTTCCTTCCTCCTGCAGGTGACACAGACGGTGCGGTTCAGACCAGTCAGGTCACTGCTGCTGCTGGCTCTCCTGGTGGTGGTCTCACTCTTCGTCCTCTTCACCCTCTCTCAGGTGAGTCTCAAGAAAAATCAGAAAAAATATAAGAAAACGAAAAATAACCAGCAATATCAAGAACAATTAAAGAACGTTAAAGAACGAAGAACACTGGATAACCCAAGGTCAGTGTAGGTCACATACCAAGTGTAGCAACACTTCAGATCACAACACTGGATATTTATGCTTAGATATTTATATATCACAATGTATATGCATCGAGGTGTAAAATTGATTGTATACAAAATTTGAGGGGGATATCTTGCCCCAAACCCACGGATTTGCCCGGGGGTTTTTCCCAAGTGTTGTTTCTTGTGGTTTTTTCCGGAGACTTATTTACCTTTTTGGGTTTTTATAACACAAAATTTTAAACATCTCTCAGTACACACTGAAGGCTTTTTTAAAAACCCCTTTATTTAGGGGATTAAGGAAGTGTAGACGTCAGTTACGGGGAGCCCTTTTCCCCCCCTTTTAAGAAGCACCCGGGCAACATTTTATTTCTAGCTTCTGGAGGAGCACCCGCGAAAACCACGATTTTCGGGGATTTGGGGGTTGGCTACCCACGGGTTTTTAAACCCCAAATTTTTAAAAGGGTGGGGGTTTGGGGGTTACCCAGAAAAAAGGCCTCTGTCAATGACCAAACGCCCCCTTTTTGGCCCAAACATTTGACAAACCCCCGCGTCAAGAAACGCCTCGTCTTTTTTTCCTGACCAATCTTACCCAACCTTTCTTGTATGCTGTAGTTAATTTTAAAAAAAATTTAGCAGAGAAATATTCACAGTGGGGATACATGCCCTTTACCGGAAAAAAATATCCCCAAAAAAAAGGGAAAAAATCCATTACCGCAGGCGCTGATGATCCTCAAGTGTATACAGTATACAACGAATCAGTACGATCCCCCCCCAGAAAAATTCCAGAAAAAGGGGCGCTTTCGAAAGCACAGATGCAGCATACAAGGTTTTACGCCCCCAAAAACCTTTTAAAAACTTAGACTAAAACCCAAAATTTTGGGGTTGAAGCACTTACAAAAGGCCCTTCAATAAGTCATAAACAAAATTTTTTTTTTTTGGGCAGGGGGAAAAATTTGACGCAAATGGGGGGAAAATTCGAGAACTACTGAAAGACAGCTCTCATTACAGAAATACCCGAGAGCGTCACCGGGGATGGTTTGCATTTCACACACCCCCACGCCCATAGTTTTGGCACTCTTCTTTTTCCTTTACTCTTTAGACAAAAAATTAAAAATGGGGAAAAAAATCCCCAGCGGTATGGGTGGCACGGGTGCACACAAACCCAGCAACAAGTACCCCTTCCCCGGGGGTCAAGTTTAAACCCAATGAAACCCCCCGGGAAAATTTTCAGAAAAAATTCTGTAGAAAAAAGGTAATAATGGTAAAACCCAAACCCACAAATATTTTGGGGTTTTAAAAAGGACAAGTGCAACAAAGTGACATTTTTAATTGTGGGAAACGTTTCGCTCCCAGGGGGCTTTGTCAAGCCATGAGGGCAAAGCTTTAAACCCCCAATAATAGGTCTCGCCAAAATTAGTGCACATTTTTTCCTTTCTTCGGATTTCCCAGAACTTTTTCTCACTGAGTGTCCTCACTGACTGACACCCGCCCCTTTCATCAGTTCCATCACTGAAGGGACAGGGCCCCCACTGCTGACATGTCCATAAACTGCCCGGGCGCCTTTCACGGGTGTCCATCACTTGTGTCCCAGGCCCTAAAGCAAAAATCATTTGGAACGGGGCTCCATCACGACTGAAAGGGGTCCGTAAAATACTGGGTGCCCGTCACGACGACAGTTTCCCACCCCTTCACAGAAAAATTTTTCCAGCATTTCCACTACGGTATTTAACCCCTTAAACCCGGTAAGGGGAAATCATAAAACCATGAAAAAAAAAGGGGAAAATAAAGGTTTTGACCCAAAGGGGGAATATTTGTATCAAGACCCTTTAAACCAAGACTAGGTTTATGTATACACCCTTCTGCGGGTTTTTACAAAATCCCTTGTAATGACTGCAAGCAAATTATACGGGGGCAAACATAAAGGGGGATTTTCCAAACGTATTTCAGAACACCAATCCAAGAAAGGAGACGTTTAAAAGGGAAATTTGCCTTTGTAAACACCGAAATTTCCCACAAAACCCATTTAAAAAACCCCTACAAAAACCAAGATTATCCCCCCACGAAGGGGAAAACACCCCAATACCAAAGGGAAACCCTGGAATCACCCGCTTATTCTTATCCACAACTTAAACCAAAAAACCAAGGGGCTTCTATAACATAGCTGAACCACTTGCCAAGAAACTTCTTCATCGCTATCCCACATAAGAGCATAGGAATGGAAGAACACTGTAGAAGGTCTGCTCACAAACTTATCCAATCTCCCTTCCAAGCTACCCAAGATTTTAGACTCTATAACCCCACTCGGTACATCATCAGATGCAGCATTCTCCACCTGACCTCAACATTCCGAACCTGACTATAAATACTCGCGTACCTTCCACCCCAGGTAGATCTGTTTGACTTGAAAAAGCCCACTGTGTGGGCGAAACGTTGTCAATAAAGGATCACATTATACTGCATGTGCGTTTATATTTCCACTATGGTTTATTACTTGAGCATACCTGTCACTCAGGTGTTTCCCTGACAGGTATGGCGTATATAGGTGTATCCCTGACAGGTGTGACGTTTACAGGTGTATCCCTGACAGATGTGGTGTTTTACAGATGGCAGTGGTACAGCATACCATGATGGCGCAGCTGGGGGAGACTGGGCGTGCAGGTGTGGGCGTGGGCACCATGGGCGGCGGGGGCAGCAGCAGCAGCATTAGCAGCAGCAGCACCGGTGGTGGTGGCGGCGGTGGGCGTGTAGGCAGGTCACCACACAGACCTTGGCGCAGTCAGTTCAGTCAGTTCAAGATCGAGCCACTGCTGATACGCAACGCCCCTTCAGTCGAGGCAAGACCATCTCTGTTTAAATATTTACCGAGACATTTACACCATTTATCAGAAATCTTAGGATTTTAATGTCTGGTAAACGACGTAAATTTACATCATGTTCTTTCTCGGTTTAAAACATGTTGAAATTACGACTTATCCACAGATTAGAAATGAAAACTGGACGACCTTCCCGGGTCGTCTTGGACTTGATAATGGTCCAGCATAGATCGAAACAAGGAATTATGAGACGTGTGCAACACCTTTATTTGAAGATGTTTCACCAACCAGTGACTTTTTTTACAATACAGAAATAATGTACGAAGTGTCTCTCCGTAGATCAAATCACGATACCCAGGTGTTGTTCATGTCTCTAATTCCCCATCTTGTTACTACTGTGTACCATAACTGTAATGACAGATCGAAAAGACGCCCTGATTTCATTTTAAATTTGTAGGCTGGTAAAATGTCCAGCCACTGTAATGTAATCGTTGATCTGTTGGAAGGGCGAGATTAATTCGACCATGTACAACAGAAATACTGGAAGGACAGTATTCCTACACCTTTGATCGAATTCCTGAAGCCGGTTTGCAGGGTTCGTTTACCCTGGCAGCCCGGTCTAAAGCCGGGCTTTTTCCCCTGCTGTCTGGTCAACTTAGGTGGTTCTTTCCCTCTTATTTATAGCTATAATCTTATTTTTTAAAAGCGTGGACCGGTAAGCCAGTGGAAGGCCTCTGTCAAATGACCAAAAACTCCAGTGGCAGGTCATCATATGACTATGGGCCTCGTCAGGAAACATTTATCTTGTTTCCTGGCAAATCTTAACTTATCTAACCTTTCCTCCTGCAGGTGAACACGGCGCTGGCTGCCAACCGAAGACGTGCCAGCCAGCTGGCTGCTATCATCGTCAGGAACTCCCTCCTCGTCACCCACTCCCACCACAACACATCCAATCCCATCAACAACCATGTTTACAGTGATCGCAGGCCCCCACACACCCAAACCACAAACACCCTACCACTCCTCCCTCGAAGTCATGCCACCGTCCACACTACCCACAGAGCCCTAATCACCACTCACATCGCTGCACACACAGCATACCACTCACATGTCATCACAAATCACTCCACACACTCAATATCAACATCAAATCATTCGAAACTGAAGACATTCGTTCCGCCAGGTAGACAAGCAGGGCCCCATACCACTGCTAGGGACCAAAGTAAAGAGACCACTGAGGAGAATGGGAGAGCGAGTGAAGGCAGTGCAGAGCCCACTGCAACAGACAGAAAGAAAGGCACAAGAGTGAATAGTGAGGTAGTCAGAGGTAACACAAAGACTGTAGGGGGCGCTGAAGGCGGCGACAGGAGGAACGATGTGAGACAAACCCATCAACAACACAGTGGCAAACAGAAAGTCAGCGGTGAAACAGTGAGAAGACGATTTTTGAGCAAAGTCCAGTGCGACACTCTTGATTGTGATACTATATTGCAAGAACATCAGAACACCTTGCCGAGCACTGAACACCACCGGCTGCCACTTGTGCACACGACCAGTCACAGCACCTCAAGTACTAACACCAATAAACGTACACGCACTGACCCACAATTCAGTCATAACTCTAAAATAAACAAAAGAATATCTGAAAATGAAATGGAAAGCGAGGAATTGAACGCCAATGCAAAGCTATCCGATTTACTAGGAACAGAGTTTAGTGAAGCTGAAAGAGAATTCGAACCTTTATACATGCGAGAGGATGACGATTACGATGTTACAGATGACGGGCTCACTACCTTGACCTCGCCAGTACCTCAGCACCTCCAGGGAACCTCCAAGGCGACCTCCAGAGCTCCTCTCACCGAAGAGCAGCTGAGAGCTCTGCCTCTCTGCCCTGAGATCCCTCCAGGGCTACGTAAGTCTAGTTGATATTTTAACGTTATATATAATATACATATGTCATGCCGAATAGGTATAACTTGCGATTTTGGCCTAAATAGCAACGCTCTTGCCGAATAATGCAAGCGAAAATTTGTGTATGCAATAATTTCGCAACAATCATTCTGAACCTAACGAAAAAAAATATATTTCATTGTGTTAGTTTAGTACTGAACTGTATACGTATCTAAAATATATTGGATTAGGCTAAAATAAATTGCGCTTGTTATAATAAGGTTAGGTAAGTTTTCTAAGGTTCTTTTGGCGCAAAATTATAAGTTTTTACATTAACATTAGTGAAAAATATATCTTTAAACGTATAAGAGAAAATTTTAGAAAGGATTTAATTTTAAATGATTTCTTGCTAATTGACCAGTTTTACATATTAGGCACGACATTTATATATATATTATATTATTTATATATATATATATATATATATAAATATATATATTATTATATATAATATTTTATATATATAATATTAATATAATAATAATATATATATATATATATTATATATTATTATATATTCTCATTGTATCCTTTTATTTTTAATTCTTATTATATTTTCAAATATAGTATATTTAACATTTCGTATGTGATATCCACTTAACTAGTTAACTGTATACGAAACTACAATGACCGTTAACAGTATATGAAGCATCAATGACCATTAATAGTATCCTAAACCACAACAACCGTTAACGGTATAGAAAGTGTAAAAACCCATTGTATTGAAGCCACCCCTAGTTTGTCTCCAGGGGATACAGCAAGCACAGCTCAGGGAGGATACAGCAAGAACAGCTCAGGGAGGATACAAAAAGCATACTTGGAAGATACATCAAGCATAGATCAGGGAGGATACAGCAAGCACAGCACTCGGCGTGCCCCCTAATCAGTGATAACTGATAACAAAGTTTTCCTCAACCTACCACAAGTTTTCTCATTAACAGAACAAATAATTCGCTCATAACATTTTCCCACTGGGCCCGAGAACAGCATCATATTGTGTGTGTGTTGTGGTGTGGGTGTGTGTGGTTTGTGTGTGTGGGGTGGGGGGGGGGGGGTTGCAAGGAGTTCTAGTGAGGTTTCTAAAAAAGGGAAACCCAACTACTATTTTTTTGGAGCAGTTGTAAATTTAAGAAGCTAGTAGAGAAAACGGAGCTAAGGGAAACAAGGGATTTGTAGCAGTTGTCTGTGTGGCTCCTCAGAATACAAAGTTTGGGCACTGGGCAAGGGGAAAAGGGAAAGAAGATGAAACTTAAAAGGAAGGAGAAGAGGTTGCAGTCCGTAACAATTTTGCTGTAAACCCGATAAAAACAGGGGACCCCTGAGCAATGGATAGAAACTTCTTACCTTCACCACTGAAAATAAGAATGTTCTTGTCGAGGATTGATAGATAAAAGTGGTGGAAAAAAATGATTGTCCATGGCAATTTATTTGCTGACTAGACAAACACTGCAAGGACATTGTAGTTCCACTCATAGAATTTGGGCCCTTTTTATGCAGAAATGACATTATGCGGGGGGATGGGGGGGGGGGGCGTTTACTGAAAGGGCAGTTGTCGGGTGTAGCAAGCTCGGTGGATGGAGCTGTTAGGACTTTAAACTAGAAATAATTAGAGATTTTTTTTTTTGTCTGGAAAAAATGAATTGTGGGACGGTATAAATTATCAAGATTGTTATATCATGGGAATAACAGAAAATGTGGACATGCAGAGATGAGTAGAAGGAAAGGCACAGACAAAAAAAAAATCAGCTTAATGAATTTTATACAAATAGTCGAAGTGCTAGACATAAGATGAAGGAATTACGTTTGGTATCATGTGCGGGAAAAACTGATGTTGCAATAACCGAGATATAACTTAATTTCAAAAGTCGAAACGTAATTGCCGAGTTCCACATTCAAGGGTTTATGTTGTTCCATGATGATAGAAATAACGGGAAGGCGGAAATGAGTGATGGGATTATTGATATTAACAATGTACTTGGTATTAGCATGCTATGAACCAGACGCTGTCATTACAAATCTTACTAAATATCTAGAAGTAAATACTCTTAATCTAAATGGGTTGTAAAAACATAATCTGCATGAACTGTATCACTGCAGACAACAAGAACATTTCAGCTTACCATGGAAGACGTGTTCATTTAATATCACATACCTGCAAGTTCCTCCCAGAAGCTCAACACCAGTAATACCTTCCTTAAATCACTTGTAAAAGCAACTGTTCAGGGAGAAATTTCTCGCTTAACTGTTAGTAATAATTTATCACAAGTTATATACACTGATGGATGTAAGCAGTCTACTGGCAGCGCTGCATCTGCTCTTGTTGCCACCTCCCTAGATAATACCATAAAATGAAGCGCTAAACCTACAGGGATCGCACAGCACAGTGGGGCAGGGAAGAATACAGGGGTATTGGGTATCAAGAGGGAGAGGTATTATTGTTAGTCATACAGCGCAGCGGGGCAGGGAAAAGTGCAGGGGTAGAAGGTAGAAAACGTGGAAAAGGCTGTGAGGAATGCTAGAGACAGCATCAAAGTTTGTGTAGTAAATCAGTTGATGTCAAAAAGTCAGAGAGAAATTCTGAGTCAAAGGTGGAGCTGTCAGCAAGGAGGGAAGATAAAGTAAAGGCATTAGAGTGGTGACGACGACGTCGGAGGTAAATTCTGCGTGCTCATTGATAGAGTGGACAGTCCGACAGAATATGGCTAACATAAAATGAAACCTGACAAGTCTCACAGAGTGGAACAGGGCGCCTCTCCATGAGATACCCGTGAGTAAGATAAGTGTGTCCGATGCGAAGACGGGAGAGAGTAGTCTCCCAACCACGGCATCGATGACAAGATGACGGCCAAGAAACCTATACTTGGTTTAACAAAATGTAATTTATTATGTAGCAGATCAGACCAATGTTGATACCAACGGTTGTGAAGGTGGGTAGCAATTACAGCAAAATAATCTGTGAATGGAACACCTCTATATTAAACTGGGAGATCATATACTGCTAACCGCGCAGTAGTGTTTGCCTGTTCATTGCCCTGTACATCAACATGACCGAAAACCCAACAAAAAAAAATATCTTTGTTCTTGCTAGAGATACGGCATAACCAAAGTTGGATACGAAGAACCAGGGGATGAGGTGAATCAACTTTCCTTATAGACTGTAAAGCACTTTCATGATTCATTACCTCTGTATCTTGTTCAGCTATAAAAACTTTGGGGCCCAGTCCCTGGGCCCATTATGTACTCTGTAATCTTTTGACTACCGCCCACAGAATGGGTATGGAGTGCATAATAAAGATATTAAACTAACTGTAAAACACTAAGGCAATCTGAAACTACCACAGATAGTGACGCAGGCATGGATGCAATACGGATAAGTGCTACGAGGATGGCATACAATTTACCCGTAAAAATGTTAGCAGAGTATAATAAATGCCCTCGCACGATGCTGTCTGGAAACTGCTGTTGAATCCGATGCCGTCAGAAGACTTAAAACCATCGGTGTACACTGCGATGGCACGAAAATGAGATCGGAAGTGCAGTTGGGCTGGTGTATGGCAGTGGGAAAGAACAGACACGACCCATCGGAACTTCCTAAAGGGGAAGGGAAAAGTTAGATGCCACATGAACATAGAAAGCTGACAACTGAAGAGAAGACAGGAGCGAATGTAGACGAAGAGAAAAGGGACGGAGTAAACAGAGGAGACTAACAAATAAAGAACTTCAACTAACATCTGTTACTATTCTATATATGGAAGGATTGCGGAGGTCATGAGTGAGTATAATAGTGAAGGCAATGAGCATCACGGCGATCGGTCAAGGATGAATATTCGCCTCTGCATAGAGGCTCTCAACAGGTGAAGAACGAATAGTACCGAGGCATAAACGTAATCCCTGGTGATGGATGGGATCAAGGCTAGAAAGAATTGCAGGAGAGGCCGCTGAATATATCTGGTCGCCATAATCGAATTTAGCAAGAAAGGTATAAAATACCGACAATATGAAAGTTAAGACACATGTGCAACATCTGGATATCTTTATTGTAGACGTTTCGTCATCCAGTGGCTTTATCAATACAGATTCTTGGACATAATTAGAAGGCAGTCCCTCAGCCTTGGAGTTAGTGTTCACAGCATCGTGGTGGTGGAGATTCTGGAGCAAAGGCAAGGAGACTGGCGGTTATATAGGCGTCAGTGGATAGGGACGTGTAGCAGACGAGGGCATAGTCACTGGTAGAAGGGATTTCCCAGTGGAAGTAGGTCCTATCCAAAGGGATGGGTTAGTCGGTATTTTATACCTTTCTTGCACAACTTGTCAAACACTGCAACATCATGGAATCTTGGTTCAGAGGACATCTACAAGACCTTCTTCACGGCTGCTTCAACTAACCCATCCCTTTGGGAAGGACCTACTTCCACTGGGGAATCCCGCCTACCAGTGACTATGCCCTCGTCTGCTACACGTCCCTATCCACTGGCGCCTATATAACCGCCAGTCTCCTTGCCTTTGCTCCAGAATCTCCACCACCACGATGCTGTGAACACTAACTCCAAGGCTGAGAGACTGCCTTCTAATTATGTCCTAGAATCTGTACTGATAAGGCCACTGGATGGCGAAACGTCTACAATAAAGATATCCAGATGTTGCACATGTGCCTTAGCTTTCATAATCGAGTTTCGATAAAATTAGGGCTGAATGTAGTCGGAGAGTTCTACGATCAGCCCCCCCCCCCATGAAAAATGAGTGAGGGTTTTAAGGAGGTTCAGCCGGCTATAACAAATTGTCTTCAGAAAGGTAATGTGAGGTTTCCAGGATAACCTACGGTCAAACAGAAGGCCGAGAAACCTCTCAGTATAACGTTCTGGGATACGTGAGCCATATAGGTACAATGGATTATTAGGGACGATAGAACGTCTAGTGAAATTAATTTGGTGTGCTTTAGTACGAGAAAACTTAAACCCATGA